CGCATTCAGTGTGTTCGGTCAAAATCACAGACTTTGGACATCAAGATTTGTCAAAAGACAATGAAAAAGAGAGAAGACAAAGGACTTGGGACTCCCGTCTATGCGGCGCCAGAAACATTCAGAGATGAATACACGTACTCTGGAGATGTCTATTCATATGGAATTACTGCGTGGGAAATTTATTATCAAGAAGAGTCCTACAAAGAACTCAAATCAATATTTGAAATTAAAGACCATGTAGAAAAAGGGAAAAGATTAATTCTTGACAAAAACATACCAACTGACTATGCAGGACTCATCCAGTCATGTTGGAAACAGGAAGGAAGTGAAAGACCAACTTTCGATCAAGTCACAAAATTGGTTGTGAAAATAGACGATGAAGTTGCTTTACACAGTGGAATAGACGATGGTGTGTGCCAAGAAAAAATTGATGAATTTGCAACAAAAAGAACCGAAAAAATGCAAAAACAAATCAACGAATTATACAGAGATTAGTCTGATATTATCATTTCTGACACTTTTAATACATAATTAATTTTTACGAATATATTTTTTTAAACAAAAAATATTATAATAACGACTTAATTACAATCAAGGGTGCATGTCGCTTTATTAATTGTAATTTTATGATCAAAAACTACAAATGTTTTAATTTACTTTTTAAATAAATCGCAATCAATTATTATTTGCAAGTATAATATTATATATTTATTGTGTTTGTGATTTTAAAGTCTAAAAATAAAAATAAATCTAATAAAATAATTCCCAAATACAAAAATATAAATTGTATTTTATATTTTTTTGTTGGGTTTTATTAAAATTTTTAATATTATCAAAACATTCGAGAAGAAATTGTTTTCTTGAATTGTTAAAAAATATCTGAATGTGGAAAACAATTAATGTTTTCTACTTATAAATGATAGTTTTTTGTGGTATTTGTAAAGTATTCAAGCGTTTAAAATTATTTATTTAGTAAAAGATAAATTGTTGAAATGATTGTTGCCTGAGAATGTTACAAAAACAGTATCAATAATAATGGATATACAATTTTCGAATAAATTAATGATAAATGACACTATCATTTTTTGCATATTATATCAAAAAATATTTAACAATTTTTATGTTTCTACAATTCCGACAATAATCAATCTTTTAATTCTATCTGTTTTTTAAACTTTATTTAACATTTTTTTATCATATAAAATGTAATATTTTATAGATACATATTGAAATCAATCTCATTGTTTTGGCTTTTTTACATCATGCCAGTTGTTAACATTAAAATAAGTCTATTTTTAGTCCAACTAATACTTTTTAAAATTTAACTAACGATAAAAGACTGACTTTAATTTAAATTACAATATAAAAAATACATTTAATAATTAATTAATGTAATTAAAACCGTTTTAATTTAAGTTTAAAATTAATAATACTATTTATAATATAAATATTTGATTATATTTGAACATTTGATTGGATAATTTATATTATTATTAAATTCTTTTTATCGAATAATTCTTTAAAATAAATTGCAAAAACACACCAATTCATACCATTAAATAAGTATTAAAAATAATTTATATTAAATATTGTTTAATTTTTAGATGTTTTTTTGGTTGAAATATCATTATTTCCACAACTTGTGTTAATTAAATATGTATTTTACATATTTACAACATGCTATAAAAATGAAAACAATTAAATGATTTATTCATAGTAAATTATAATATATTTTCAATTATAAATAACATTTTAATTAAATATATTTTATGATTTATTTTTAATGTCTTTTATAACAAAAGTTGTTATTATCTTAAAATGTTTGGTTGATTTGTGCTGTCATATAAAAAAATAATACAGAATTTATAAAAGCATATATAATATAAATTAATTATATTGATTATATGTAATTTAAAACTGTATTCAAAATATTATTAAAATAATTTGAACATTTTATAAATAATTTTAACGCACGATAAAATATTTCTAATTTCATATCACAACTGATTTTTATGCTGTTAAATTTTTTGAAATTGAAATACAAAACAATGTATTTTTTAATTATAAAATCAAATACTTTAAACTTTACTATTTTTGGGTTAATTTATTGAAAATGTTTATTAATACCCATTGAATTTTTTATTGAAAAATAAATTGGCTTTTTCCATACTGGTTTTTCAGTTAAATTTGAAATTAAACACAAAAATTTTTTCAGTTGTTCATTTTTTTAAAAAAAAAATACTTTATTTAAATCCCAACAAACTTACTTTAACATATGTTCCTGTTGTTATTGATAGTTTCTGTCCTTTCGGTTGAAGAGAAGTCGATATGTATGAACGACTTCCTTGCCTTCAATTATGAAGATGACCAAACACCAGTTATCAAACAGTTTGACTGTTATTCGGACCTACCCGATCCAATGGAAGTAAAAGGCATAAACAACCAAGCTATATGTTATGTCAGTGAGCAGTTTATGTACCTAACAAAAGATAATCACACTTTTAATCGGTGCGGAGAGTATTTACATATTGTTGGAGCCTATCAAAAACAGGTTTATTGTATGATTGCCGGTTATATGAATGTGTATAAAGAAGGTGTGACTGAATTTCTTGAAGGAAAATACATATCTGTCAACTCCAGAATATACAACCAACTCTCTCCAAAAACTAAAGCTAAAAACAATTATGCCTGTCAATTCACTTTTAAACACGTATACTTGGATTTGGGTATGAACCCTTCTCTTGTAATTGTCGAGAGGAAAAAGAATTCCAATATAGTACAAATCATTAATTGCAACCAAATTATGTCCCAAATCAGAATTTATTCAGAAACTATAGATGAATTTATTTATTCAATGGACGATGGAAAATTTGAAGTTCCAAATTATGAAGGCAATTACACTGTAAGAGTCTTTTCTTTCTATAATAACAGACTTGAGATTAAAAATATCAATTTAAACCAAGCAGATTCATTTGAATTTGACTCAAGATTCCCAGCAGATAAAGGCGGGAACTGCTATTATGTCGTCAATGATGACGTGTACTCCCCAGATGAGAAAAACGAGTCTGTCTACTTCTTTAA